GGGTTTACTGCCTCTCCTCAATTTGATTTCTATTTGTGGGGTTTACCATAGTCTCTACTTCTAACTCTGTAGTTATAGGGCTAACTCCTGCCTCCCTGGCCATCTTTCTTTAAGTATACGCTCACAAAGAATACAGGAGGGCAGAACAGTGATGATGAAAATGTCTCATGAGATAAATATATTTTTTAGGATCTCCCATTCTATAGGTTCTTTCTCTCTTTTTAAAATTTTGCTCAGTAAATAGTATCCTCAATAAGAGTTAATAATAATATAAAATTAATATATTTCATATTAATTATTATTAAAAGATACAAATTGTATATGCAGAATAATTGCTATTAAGTGAAGATAAATATACACAGGAACAAAATAAAACTTAGCAAAATTTTTTTTGCATTGCTCATTGGATAATGTTTTGTTTTCTAAATTTCCCAGTGAGAAAAATGAGTATGTACAACTTTTATAATGGAAAAACAAGACATTATTTATGTATTTATTCAATTAAAGTAATCTTGAGGATTTTCTGTTCTAGGCAAAAACTATGATCGGAAGGAACAAACTGCTATAACTGTTCTGTTTTGCTCAGGATATTTACAGAAATTCCTATTTAGATTATGCTTTCAGCATTTCCTTGAAGGACTTGTCAGAGCCTGTTAAAATGAAGTAGTAAGCAACCTAATGAGATCTCTGTTGTAGAAAATAACTGAATTGTGGATTGTGCTGTAAGAGTGGAGGTGGGAAAACAAATTGGATCCTTTCCAGGAGTCTGGGGCGGAGGACGAGCAACCCTTGAGCTGAGACAGTGAATTGGAGAGGAAGCAGCAGATATGGGAAGCAGGCACTTCAAAGTAAACATGTCCAAAATTAAACTGCCTTTTACAACTGAACTTCCCTCCCCTGCCCAGCAAATGCACTTCTCCCCTCTCGCTTATCTCAGTAAATGACACAACTTCCCACCCTCTAGCCCACAACAAAGTTTTTTGACTTCTTCATCTCCTCATTCCCATACCTGGTCCATCACTAAGGCTTCTAAGTTCTTTTTTCTATATGTCTCTTAAATTTATCCTTTGATCTGTACCACTTAGTTTAGCCATTATCATGTCCTAATTGAATTTAAAAAAAAAAAAAAGTTTACAAACTGCTTTTCCTTTGCTTTCATTTTTGCTCTCTACCTGACCATTTCATCACAGTGATTTATCACAGCTGAAAATCTGATTCTATTACTCCCCCACTGCAATGGCTTTTTAGTGCTTTTAGGAAGTGGTCCAAACTATAAAGTGGCTTCCACAGTTTTGCCAGGGGTGGGCCCCACCTACCTTCCTAGTGTTGTTTCCTACTGCTGCCTTCCTTACTCCTACTCTAGCCTTGGGCCGCTTGCAGACCCATCCAACTCTCCTGCTCCCCATTAGCCAAAAGTTTTCTTTACCTGGAATACC